TGAGATGACTGACATTGTGAAATGGGAAGAAAAGGTCTAAAGGTGTAGGGAAGATGGGATGGGTAGGGGAAGGGTAATAAGGGGAAAGAAAAAAATGTGAGAAAGTGAAAAGATGGAAATAAACTTTCATGTATTTTAAAATACTGTAATAAAGTTGCTTCTAGTGGAAAGGAGAGTACTTGTAATGGAAATTATTAAAATATACTTATTTTAAAATATGTGCATATAAGCTGGGTATGGTGGTTACATGCTTGTGACCCTAGCACTCTTGAGAGATTGAGGCTTTTGAGGATGTCCTGGGCAACTAAGTGACACTCTGTCTTAAAATAAAAAGAGCCAAGAATATAGGTTTTTCTTACTTGTTCTTTGCTGGAGATTTTTTAAAATCACTAGGTCTTTAGGAAGGAAAAGAGATGCGATATGAAAATATTGCTCTTGGCTGCTGATATGAAAGGAGTTGAACCTAAGACCTGTAATTTCTTAGAAAGTTGTCTCAAGGCTTATTAATAAAACTATCTTTATCACTTTAAAATGCCTTCTTTATTTAAACTGAGGTATTTAACCTTCTTAAAAACTGTAAGATTTTAGTCACTTTTAGAACTTGGGAAGATAAGGTGGAAGAAAAATTACTCATTATTTTCATGGTGAACTGTTAGGTGTATGGGACACAGGTGTAAGGAATATACTCAAACCCTAGAGATATTTTGTAAATAGAAATAGGAACTTATGGGTTTTGCCAGAGTCTATCTAGTTTATTAACTGAGTCTTTTAGTCAGTATCCAAGATAATACTGCTTTTCTGAATTTATCAAATTGGGGCAGTAATCTTTACAAATTATTTTTTTTCTTTGACTTGCCTTTCATAATGATAGATATTTCACATATCTCAGATGTTAAAGGATTTAGTTATGGATTTTTATAGTTACATTATTTATTTAATTGTTTGTTTGTTTGTTTGTTTGAGGCAGAGTCTCACTATGTAGTTGAGGCTAACCTGGAACTCACTATGTAGCCCAGGCTGGTCTTGAACTCACAGCAGTCCTCCTGCCTCAGCCTCCCGAGTGCTGGGATTACAGATGTGTGCCACCAAGCCAAACTGATAGTTATATAATTTAAATCAGTAAAAAGATAGTAAAAGTTGTGTGATCAAAAAAGCTAGTAAAAATGTGTATATCACATATTCAGACAGTTAAATACACATACATGCAAGTGTAAAATGAAATGAAAATAGTATGTTGAATGATTTCTATTCTGGAATATGGCCCTAACAGAGAAATAAGGAAGATGAGGAGAAACGTTTGCTTAGAATATAACTTTGGTACTTTTTAAGAGCTATGATGGGAAAAAAAGAAAAAAACTGCATATTTAAGTAATTTCTCATGGAAGAGACAATTTATAGAATATATAGACTATCTTGCTGATATATAAAAATTATAATAACATAATACTTGTTTTTAAATGCATAGATTGAGGTATGTAGTATTAAATGTAGATGTAAAATGATCTTATGATCCTCTGGATAGTTTAAATGTGTACTTCTTAGGCAAAATATGTGGCACTCATAGATATTTAAAAAATGCTTTTTTGATTTGTTTGAAGGGCACATATGAACTACCTGTAAGTCTGAGGGTATATTTTGATGAAATTGTATTTGAAGCTTTTTACCTATTGAACTCCTCTAAATCAAACACTACATTTTTTTTCTCTTAAAAATAATTTGTGACCTGTAATCCTGGCATTCTGCAAGGTTGAGGCAGGAGGAGAATGACGTTAAGTCCACCTGGGCAAGTGACTCACTGACCTGCTGAGATCTTGTCTGAAAATTAAAAAATAAAAAATAAAAAAGGGGCTGAGGAGGTAACCTTTAAATGCACAAGAATAAGAAAATCTATGAAGAAAGATAATAGAGCAGTGTTTGCCTAGTGCTGAGGAAGGGGTTTGTGGAGGATGTGCATACGTGTGTGTGTGTGTGTGTGTGTGTGTGTGTGCGTGTGTGTGGTGGGGAAGATGATGGCCAGGGTATGTAGGGTTTCATTAAAGACTAAAAGATACATTTTATAATTGATTGTGAAGCTGGTTGCATAATTTTGAATCTACTAAAAGCCACTAAATTGTGTATTTTAGAAGAGTGAATTTATGGTATGTTAACTATATTTCAAAACTTTAAAAAATAAGATCATTCTTTTCTAAGGCAATTTCAGTCCAATGAAAATATTATTAGTATAATTTTGCATTGTTTTTAATCTTACATTTAAATAACTGCTGTTGTTAAAAACTGCTTATGAAATGTTTTCAAAAGCAAGTCTCGTGTTTTGGATAGACATAAGTGTGAGAATCCATGTATTTGTTCTACATTCAGTATTACTGATCAGCAATGTTGCCACAGATGTTAGAATCATTTAGCATGTCAAGTAGGCAAGTGCTGCTAGAATTACCCTTAAGATGAAATCTTACATTTGGAAGTATACTTGATTGACAGAACTAGAAGATTGCTGGCTGGTTATTGCGTCTTAGTGTCACATTGATCACTGTTCCATTAGTTTCTATAGACAGAATCATTGTTCTCCATCACTTACCTCAAAATCTTGTTCTGTTAAAAACTGATTCACAGAATATGAAGAGGAAGGAAATTATGTGTAAACTCATAAGACATTGAAATTTTCTACCTTCTCTACTCAAAAAACCTGTGTGGAGGTAATCTAGCGGTTTTGTTAAGAACTGGGACTATGACATGTATCTTGAAAATGAAAATTGTTAAATGTAACAGAGTTTTATATTGCTCTCAATGGGAAAAATATGCTTTGAGGAAAATTTTACAGTTTCTAATTATGGTAATTTTCTCAAGTTTTAACAAGTAGAGAGTAAAGATAGAAAATAAAGTATTATCATCTATGAAATATAAATCTATTCTTTGTTACTGTAAGTTGAATAAGATAATAGGGGAATTACTGTAATGCAGATGAGATACAGAAATTTATACCATTATAGCCCAGAAAGATTTTCATTAATATTACCGATGTTTTAAAGATAACTTCAATCAGAATAACACATTGAAATGTGAGATTTTCAAAATAAAGCTACTAATGTTTGAGTATTATAGGCTTTCCATTTCCAAGTTTCATTAAAAAGATTCCACTAAGATTGTTTTCCCTTGCCTTGATTTTTAACAATTTAAGCCAGAAGCAATTTGAGTATTCTGTAAGACCTGATCGAGAAGAGTATTTTTGGAATTTTGTGGAGAGGAAATTTAGAGAAACTCAAGTGTGAGGGAACTTCATAGAAGAAGAAAGAAAAATTTAAACCATTGTTCAAGAATTAAAAATGAAGAATTTATTTTGAAATTAGCTTCACCTGTCATTGGGTTCCTTTGACTATAATACTGTTTCAGATAACACAACATGGCTGAAAGTTTTAATAAGGTTGGGAATTGTCAAACTTTTTCTATCAATGATTGATGAATAGATTCATTCATAGGAAAATGGATACATATTGAAGATATACTCCTAAGTGAAATAAATAAGTCCCACATGTGTAAATACCAAATAGTTTCCCTGGTGTGAATATTCTGCAACAATGCATAAGATTCTAATAAGATTACTGACATTTAGAAATGGGAGGAAAGGAGCTAAAGGTGTAGGGAAGGTGTGATACGTAGGGGAAGAACAAAAAGGGAAAAGAAAAAAATGTGAGAGAATG